TCTCCTGCTCCTCTGATGCTGCCTGGCCTGCTGTGTTCCTCCAGCTCCACACTGTGTTGTCTCTGACTCCAGATTCAGCAGTTCTTACTATCTGTGAGCCAGCGAACCTGTGGCGTTTTTGCTTGGGCTCTGCTGCATGGTGGCGCTTCAGTGTTGCATTCTGGTCCTCGCGCAGTCCTTCACCTCTTCGATTTTTCTCTTTGTCTTGTCGGCAGGTGCCATTGCATCTTTCTCAGCGGGCCACGTCAAGTTGCGGTGGTCACTGTGGGCGGAGCTGGTGATTTTTGTCATCACTGCGCTTCAGGCTGGACTCCTCTTCCTCATGAACACCACCACCAACATCTGGGTTTGCTACGTGGGCTTCGTCCTGTTCCGGAGCAGCCACCAACTCCTGGTTCCCATAGCAATGTGAGTATTACTCTTGCTTTCCTTCCCCCACAATGCATTACCTCCCAGGGCAGCGGTCAATGGCGTTAGGGGTTCCGAATGGGCAACTACGGTGACCAGGTTTAATTTTTTAAAACAAAAAGGAAGCATGGCACTGCCAGGTGGAAAGACTGGATTACTGGGGGAGGGAATGAGGCAGCACGGCAGGCTCGGAACTGTGGAACCAAGCAAGGAAGGATTAAATTGTGGGGGTGGGGGGGTGGGGAATCGACAGTTGTGACGTGCAGAAGAAGGTCACTCATAGACACACAGGAAAATAAAATAGGAACAGGAGTAGGCTGTTCAGCTGTTCGAGCCTGCTCTGACCCAATACCGTGTGTTTTTTCCTCACCCCTCCCAAAACCTTTGATCCTGTTAGGCCTGAAGACTATATCTACCTCCTTCTTGAAAACATTAAGCACTTTGGCCTCAGCCGCTTTCTGTGGCAGAGAATTTCACAGGCTCTCCACTCTCTGGGTCTAAGAAATTCCTTCCCACCTGAGTCCTAAATGGCCTGCCCCATATCCTTAGATTGGTATTCCTGGTTCTGGACACCCCCTCCCCCCACCCCACACCACCACCACCTGGTCATTGGGAACATCCTTCCTACGTTTTATTCGGCCATTCATCTCAATGTGGCTGTGCCAGCTCTTTTGAAAGTCTCACTCTCTGGCAGCTGCCCACAGTATCACACCCTCTTTAAGCGTTTATCCAGTTGCCTATTTGGGAGGGTCCTTGTGGAGCGCAGTGGTCATGTGCTTAGCTCTGGGCCCAACGGTCTGTGTTCAAGTCCCATCTACCCTGACGCTAAGACGTGTCCAGTTCCTTGCTGAACTGGGAAGGTATGAGCTCCTGGGACATATTCCATTAATGTGCAGTTGATGTGTACGAGTCCGAGAATTGTTACAGCACAGAAAAGGGGACCATTCAGCCCCTTTGTGGCTACGGTGCCTCATATATCTCCCTCCTTTCTCCCTGTATCTTTGCGCATCACGAATGTACGTAAGTGAGCCATTTCCCGAGCTCCACTGATGACCTCAAAATAACCCCCGATTTTCCGGGGTGTGTTGGTGCAGCTGGCCGCTTACAGGGTCTCTGTGGCAATGTCTCAGTCGTGTCTTGAACCCATCAGCACTGTTTGTTTTTAACCCTGCTGTATGAATGATTTTGGGAACATTTGAAGTCTGGCTATTCCAGCATTAGTTCTGAATAGTGCAAAATGCACTCTCTCTCTCCTCATCAGCAGAAAATGCTAGCAAATGGGACTAGATCAGTTTGAACTGTCTGGTCAGCACAGATGTGACTCTGAGTCCAGTTTTTGGATCACGAAGTCAAGTTTGTTTGGAAATAATTATTCCAGATTCCAGCCACCCTCTAGGTAGCTCATTCCACATCATAACGACACTTTTTAAAGAATTTTTAAACATACTCCTCGTCTTTCCCTCTGCTTTTGTTTTTGCTGTCGTTGATTTTTGTTCCCAATCTTTGTCTCCCATTTTGTCAGTGGAAGCAGTTTCTCCTTTTTCCTCTTCGTTGTATTGAAGCCCCCCTCAGGATCTTGAATAGTAATTTATAAAGCGGCTAAAGTGCTAGCTTCCCTCGTGAATTATTGGCCTACCCTCTACTTTGTTAATCCCTGCAGAAGTGGCCTGTCTTAAAATAGTTTTGAGATTTGTGGATTTGAGAGAGCTGAGCTTTTCTGGGGAGGGAGGGTGGGTGGGGGACACGCACTAGAGTATTGGATTTTGAAGGCAAGGATTGTGGGGTGGGCAGGATTCTTACCTGAGATGAGGTAAGGGGAGGGGATGGCCTAGTAGCGGCATTATTGCCGGACTGTTAATCCAGAGACCCAGATAACGTTGTGGGGACCCGGGTTCGACTCCCGCCATGACAGACGGTGGAATTTGAATTCAATAAATATTGGGAATTAAGAATCTAATGATGATCATGAATCCATTGTCGATTGTTGGGAAAACCCACCTGGCTCACTAATGCCATTTTAAGGGAAGGAAACTGCCATCCTTACCTGATCTGGCCTACATGTGACTCCAGACCCACAGCAATGTGGTTGACTCTTATTTGCCCTCTGGAAAATAAATGCTGCCTGGCCAGTGACGCCCTCATCCCGTGAATTCATATTTTAAAAAAAAAAATTCAGAGTCCAAGGGAGTTTAAGCAACACAGGATGACCTTTACAGATTGTGTGTTTGAGCACAATTCTGCTGCTGTTGATGGCCCACAGCGTCTCGAGGATACCCAGTCTTGAGTCGCTAGATCTGTGTGAAGCCTGTCCCCTTTAGCACGGCGATAGTGCCACACAACATGATGGAGGTGATTTGAAGGTGGGACCTTGTCTGCACAAGGTGGTCAGTCTTTCCAATTCTGTCATGCATCTACAATCGGCAGATTGGTAAGGAGGCCAAGTGATTGTATTTAAGGCAGACAGTTAGTAAGGGAATCCAGGGATATAGGGAGTAGGCAGGAGAGTGAGGTTGAGAAATATACTAGCCATGATCAAATACCAGAGCAGACTCAACAGGCCAAATAGCCTAATTCTGCTCCTACATCTTATGGTCTTTTGAGGTCCATAAATGTATCTCCCTCTTGTCGGTTCCCTCGCCACTCACTGCACGTCCGGTCTAGCCAGCTATGTCCTTCCGGGATTTGGCCAACTAGCGGAAGTCTGAGGGCGTTCAGTGGCGGTGCAGGGTGAGAGGAGACGGTAACGAAACGAGCAGCTATGGCAGATGGGTCGAGAGGACGTGAAAGTGGGAAATGGCTGAACGATCGGCGGATGGTGTCTGGGGAGAACGAACCCAGTGGCGGGGGCGGGGGATGCTGTGCTCTGAGCTGCCTGTTGAACTTGGGGAGTGTGTAAAGTGTGCAATTGAAAGATGGGATGGAGCTAACGTAGAGCTTCGCTGGAAGTGGTGCCAAGCCTGAGGGAGCCGGTGTGTTAGCGTGGATTCTGTGTGGCGGAATGAGGCGATGGCAGTCTATTGTCCAGTACGTTGTATGGTTTAGCCCCAGATAAGGTGCCGATCAGACTTTGTGGCTAACGTGCGAGGGTGGTGCAGAGGCCTCTGGACTGACTCAGTGTGCGCTGTCATTTAGTTTTCAGATCGCCATGTCGTTGTCCAAGGAGCTCTGCGCGCTGGTATTTGGTATCAACACGTTTTTGGCCACCATCTTGAAAACCATCATTACGCTGATCATCGCTGACAAACGCGGCCTGGGACTGCACGTGAACAACCAGGTACGTGTAACACGAAAAGAGCGGTCAATCTCCCCTCTATATAAGTAGGTCCGCCCAGCGCAACCTAACTCTTGGAGGAGAGGCACTTTAGAAACTGCTTGTTGTAGTATTGTGTCCATTATCTAAATACTTCCCGTTTGTGAAGGATGTAGAGGCTTTTGGCGAGTGTACAGGACGTGGGGCCTCGGACGAGGCCCTGTGAATTCTGTTGGAGGAGTTAGCGTTAATGCTGCTTTGTGGCGGTGGAGGGGCGTTAACTCCTGCGGAATTCTGTTGATGGGGTAAATGAAGAGGAAACTATTCCCACTTGGAATGGGGGGTGGTAGTGGAATAGGGCAGCACGAGGAAGTGGATTTGAAATAACTGGCTGTAGCACCAGATAGGGAGGTAAGTCTTTTTTTCTCTCTATCAGTATTGACACAGCGAGCCGTTCCGCTTCGGCACGGGCATCCTGAAAAGGTGGCGAACCTGGATTCAGCGACTTTAAAATTCTGAAGGAGGCGTGAGTACGTATCCGAAGGAGAAAATTCATTTGGTTCGTGGGGCGAAGACTGGGCAAGTGGGGCAAATTGGCAGGCTGTATCAAGGGGTTAAATGCCTCCCCTCTGGTGTAGTATAGCTCTATATACAGACATGCCCCTGTAGTTTGATGGGATATTGGGTAGGTCAGCCCCACCCAACTGGACCATCTTGTACCCCAGAAAGTTGGGGGGGGGAAGGGCAGCAGGGGGCAAGAGGGCATGAGCTGTTCACCCTGGACTTTTTGCCCTGGAGTCCGTATTTGCCCCTCCGGCGACCTCCGATGAGACGCCGTTATCCAGCCCTGTGCGGTATTGAAATTGTTGTGGGATCTTGCTGTGCACACAGTTAGCCGCCCGGTTTCCCCTGCTCCATCAATGACCAGACCTTGCTTCGTTGGCTGTGAGGAGGTCATTAAGTGCACTCTATTTTTAAATGTATGAAATTTGTCTCTCTCTCTCGCTCTGTTTCTGCTCTGAGGTTTTGGCAGTGAGCTGGGAGGGGAAGAGATTTGAGTAAAATGTAAATAAACATTTTTCTGCCCTTTGCCATGGGAATAGGGAGCAGCCAAGCCAAGGGGCAACCACAGGGATCATCTCATTATGTGCCGCTGTAGCGGTGGGCTGCCAACTGTGTGTGTGTGTGTGCCTGTGCCTGTGTGTAGTGAGCAAGGGCCCATGCTCTCCAGTCCAGGCTCAATGAAACTTTGGGAGAATCATCGTCCTCAAAGCCATTTGGAAACCAGCTGGTAGTCAGCACATCCATCCTTGCACAACAACCACCTCCCAACCACCCCCACCTCACCCCGATCCCGGCCTGAAAGACAAAACGATGAATTAGAGTTGTGGAGTCTGTTCTGGCACAGAACGAGACCATTCAGCCCATTGCGTCTATGCTGGCTCAATGTAGCGTGGTCCAATCATTTCAGCTTGCCCCCACTCCATCCCGGTAGCCTTGCAAATTTTACTTCCCTGGAGAATGAGTCCACCATCTCTGCTTCCACTACCCTCATGAGGAACAAGTCCCACTCACTGTGCTAGTTAGAAAGTTCTTCCTTTCATTCCCGTCCTGCACCCCCCACCCCGTGCTGTGCGTCTGTCTCAACCAGTAATCCGTGTGCTCCAGTCCTTCTGCCACCCGGGAACAGAACTTGCTTTTCTTCGATTACTGTCGACCAGAACTGAATATATTACTAACTGAGGCTTGGTAAAGGTGAAGCATAACTTCCCTGATTTTTGCATGAGAGATTCTGTTTCTGAAGCCCAAGGTCCCAGACGTTTGGCTAACTACCCTCTGCATGTTTCCTGTTGCCTCTTCAAAGGTCAATATACATGACCTCCAGGTCTCCCTCCAGCTGAACCGATTGCATTCCAAATTTCTGCCTTTGGTGCACATTCTGTCCCTCGCAGTCCTAAGCATAGAAAGTGGGAAGTTTTTTTTTATTATTCATTCATGAGATGTGGGTGTCGCTGGCTGGCCAGCATTTCGTGCCCATCCCTAGTTGCCCTTGAAGGTGATGGTGAGCTGCCTTCTTGAACTGCTGCAGTCCTCCTGCTGTGGGTTGACCCACGATGCCATTATGGAGGGAATTCCAGGATTTTGACCCGGCGACAGTGAAGGAACGGCGACATATTTCCAAGTCAGGATGGTGAGTGGCTTGGAGGGGAACTTGGAAGTGGTGGTGTTCCCATATGTCAGATGCCCTTGTCCTTCCAGATGGAAGTGGTCGTGGGTTTGGAAGGTGCTATCAGAGGATCTTTCTTTGGCGAATTTCTGCAGTGCATCTTGTAGATAGCACACACTGCCACTACTGAGTGTTGCTGGTGGAGGGAGTGGAAGTTGTTTATGTGGTGCCAATCAAGTGTCCTGGATGGTGCCAAGCCTCTTGAGTGTTGTTTGAGCTGCACCCATCCAGGTAAATGGGGAGTAATCTGCCACAGACTCAGTGGCAGAAGGTTCAATCCACCACCCCCTGCAAACAAGAGCTACCAGCCTACTAAGACGTTGACAGTTGTCTCACAGCGTCGCTGGGGATACTGCGACTGTTGTCACGACAACACCCGCAGGAGGCTGCTGTCTCTGGAACCCCAGATGGAAGTAGACGGAGGGGGCAGGACAGAGGGGGGTGGTTGGTGGTATCAGGGAGGGGTGGCACTCGGTAGGGCCCCTCCTCCCTGACGACGGGTGCCCATCGACTGTGTTTGTACGAGAAGTGCCCCTTCACCCTCGGGGAGACCAACAGCCCCCTTCAACAGGTATTACCTCCCCCCCCGCCGCCTTTCTCTGCATGGCATCCTCCTGCCTGATTAGACCCATCGTGAGAGTGAGAGACTCTTGATGGATGTTCTGTTTGGATCCTTGTGGAATAAATCACATGGGGAAACACTGGCTCCAGGGACAGTGCTCTTGTGGACAGCCATCTCGATGATGACTAGTAAAATAAACAAATCCTTTATTTGTTCACCTGAGCTCTAATGCTGCAGCTGAAAGTCAGTCACATCACCCTATCAATATGGTCATAAATTCTGTCTGTGTCTCTCTCTGTCCCAGTGTAGATATAAATATCACCCTTTAGGCAGCAGTCACTGCTCTTCAACAGAGTCTTGACTTTCTAAGCCGAAGCATAGCACGCAGATGCAAAGAAATCATTTAAAAACATTTATGAGTTGCGTGTTGCACCTCAGCTGGAGAGTTGGGCCCAATTTCTGGGCAGCACATGGAAGATGTCTGGGCCTTCTGGATGAACACTTGAGGGACTTCCCGTTCTTGAGTGCCAATTGTGTTCCCAACGTGGCCAAGCAGCTTGCTCGGCCTGAAACCCCTTCCCAAAACTGCCATGGCAGATAGAGGGGAAGAGCTGGGGAGTCTCTGGGTCAGCCATGTTTGATGTGGTGAGTCAGCTATCGAGGTGCGGCCCCTGTGACCTGTTCTGCAGGGAACGAATGATGGGAAACAGACCCGGACAAATGCTGCAGAGGTAGTAGGAACTGCTGATGCTGGAGAATCTGAGATAACAAGGTGTAGATCTGGATGAACGCAGCAGGCCAGGCAGCATCAGAGGAGCAGGAAAGCTGACGTTTCAGATCTGGACCCTTCTTCAGAAATGCCTTTTCCCGATTTCTTTTTAACATCCTTGCCTCATAAAACAAAACTTCCAGACTCCTGAGCTTTCAGGTTCCAGATTTCAAGTGCTCCCTGATGTTACCAGAAGGGGCTGAAACTGTAAGGTTCTGGCCTGTTGTCCTGGACTGACCCAACTCATGATAAGAAATAGTCTGTCCTAGTCTAACCCATCAAAACGTTTAATCATTTTGAAAACACTGCTTGCTTTTTTAAAATTGTATCCTGTCAGAATTGATGGAAAGTTCATCATTCGTTTTGAACAGGTTTTGTTGATGAAAGCTATTGGGTCCATTTTTTATTTAAGAGTACTGGGCAGGGTGAGGTTGAAGGGAAAGAGCTAAATTGTAGCAACAAATTGCGTTGTTATTTTTAAATATTGTTTTCTCGACAACACAGGAAACCGAGCAACCTCCTTGTTATAATAGCTGCATTTGTGTGTACACTTAAAGCTGACAGGAAGCTGTCCTAATCCCAGGTACCTGTGGTTCAGTGCAGTCTTGAACACACAGGACATTAGATAATTCTGATATTCATTATAACAACCGCATTGTGAACTCTTCATGGAGCAGGAAATGGTGCTTCAAGAAGGGCCAAACCCACAGTGTTCAAATAAGCTGCCAAAGGCAGGATTGCAGCTCTGTTTGCCAGCCAGTGATCTGCTCTGAGTCCACTCTATTGATAAACAGCACGTTAATGACAGCTGTTTGGTAAAGCCGCCTTGTTTTGTGGGTTTTTCTTTGCAACACAGTTTTTTTTTTTATAAGTGTTTTTGTTTCCAAAAAGGTTCATTATCGTTGAGTTGAAAGCAGACATTGCCCGGCAGTGTATAATTCAGGACCGTCTGATTGTTGACTAAAAGCAGATCCTGCTGCTGGTGTTTCAGTGAAAACTACCGTTCTTTCTCTGCTCAACTTGATTCTTGGGGTGGGGGGGATGATTTTGTAAGACTTTATATTTTTATAGTGCCTTTCATCACCCCGGGATGTCTCAAAGTGCTTTAACAGCCCATTTGAAGCACCTTTCTGAAGTGTTGCCCCAGTTGTAATATGCAGATTAAGTGGCAGCCAGCTTGTACACTCCAAGCTGACCTACGAAGGAATGATCTGCTCCTCTTCGAAACAGTGTCTCGGAATCTCTTGCAATTGCCTGACAGGGAATCCAGGAACAAATGTTTCATCTGAAAGCCAGCCAATGCTGCACTCCCTCATGTAAATCCGAAATTAAAAATCTGGAGTGGGATGTGAACTCTCAATCTTCTGCCTCATGGGGTGAGGGGTACCCACTTGTGACACATACAAGGCATTGGTGACAACCTGCCCCTGAACTGTAGATATTGTCGTACAGCACGGAAGTAGACCCTTCGGTCCAACTCGTCTGCGCCGACCAGACATCCCAATCTGACCTAGTCCCATTGGCCAGCATTTGGCCCATATCCCTCTAAACCCTTCCCATTCACGTACCCATCCAGATGTCTTTTAAATGTTGTAATTGTACCAACCTCCACCACTTCCTCTGGCAGCTAATTCCATACACGCACCACTGCCTGCGTGAAAATGTTGCCCCTTGGGTCCCTTTTCAAATCTTTTCCCTTCTCACCTTTAAACGTGTGCCGTCTGGTTTTGGACAACCCCCACCTTGGGGGGAAAAGACCTTGGCTATTCTGTCGCAAACCTCCAGCTGTGTGTGGGGGTTGGGGGGTGGAGAGGGGGCTGCGACAAAATGGCCAAATCTCCCTGTCAAACAGGCCCTGGGATTAGCCCAAATGTTTCCCTTGCGAAGAGGACATGCCAAGAAATGTTTAGAATTTACTGTTATCAATTATGTGATGCTCTGGAAATTCTGTTCTTTGGTTTTCGGAGTGATTGGGTCTGATTATTTTTTTTTTCCATGGGTGAAGTACTGGGACTGTTTGTACTCTAGCCAGGGCTTGTTAATTTCCTACCAACCCAGGCCACTCCGTTCTAGTCAATTTCCATCTTGCCATTTCTATTGGGTAGCTGATTCTAACTTGTATCTCTCTCTGTCACCTCCCCAGTTCTATTTCTACATTGGCCACTTCTCACTGTTGGCGAGCATCTACCTGGGGAGAGGCCTGTATGTTTTAGCCAGGCACCAGCGGGAGCAGAAGGCCCGAAGCCCACAGAAGGAGGATGAGACCAACAACGGTTTGGTGACGGAGATGAATGGGACGGGAGGCTGCGCCCACCCAACCTGCTCGAAGGCCTGAGGGTGAGATGCAGACCACGAGGGGCAGGGTTGCGGAAGGGCTAGGGATCTCCTGTTTTGTTCCTGCCACCAGCCCCCCCCTCCCCCCCGCAACTCTCAATCTTAACGGTGGGCGGGTAGGGTTGAAAATGTTTTGAGTGTTTGTTTAAAATAGTGTGGAAGCGATTGAATGCAATTAAGACAGCAGTAAGGCCACGTCTCTGAGTGCTGGCCTCTTTGGAAAGTACCCAGAATGATCCCAAGATGCAGCATTCTCTGCATAACTACAACTAGCTGGACTGTACTGATGCAGAAGGTCAGGAAGCACTCTTTCTCCCCACCCCCCCAGCGACACTTTAGGACACAGGCTGGGCTGAGCATTTACTGCCGTCCTTCCCCACCGCCCCCCTTCCTCAGCACCGCAGCTTCCGTGCAGACCTGGGCACCAATCCCCAGCCTTTGAACTGGTGCTAACTTAACACGTGACCTTCTTGCAGGACGGCATGGCATCGAAAGGGAGTAGGCACGTGGCTCATCCAACCTCTGACCTTGCCACCCCACCCGACATGCCCTGGTTTGGCCAAGGGCTGTTTCCTGGGGGAAAATGCCGTGAAATGACCCAAACCAGCTCAGTGCCAGTGTGAACGTCAAGAAATAGGCCGTGACCACAGAGACTGGGCAGAGACAGGAGTACACAGTGTTAAATTATGATTGACGCTCATGCATTTCCACTGCCAACTTGAATTCGGGAAAGAGACTTAGGGTTTACACTACAACCCCCCCTCGAGTATGAACTAATATTTCAATCAGTTCAAATTATGCACTTTAACTTTTGAGGGGGTGGGGTTTGGGAGACAAACATGATTAATCCTTGTGTTTAACTCTTTAACGTCGCTAGCGCATCATGTCAGTGCTAGGTCAGTACTCTATATATTGACCTAATTGTCATTGGCCTAACTGATGGACACGTTGCATGTGGGCAGTAGCTGTGTTCATGTTGGGAACAGGGATCACCAAGACACTGACCATGGCACATGGATCTGACTTTCTTCACATGTAATGGATCCGAAACCTGCGCTTATCCATGACCCACTCTACACAGCACCTTCACCAGCAGGCACAAAAGGGTTTTTTTTTGTCCTTGGCAATGATGGCATCAGACCAATTTTCCAAGCCAGTGTTCCCACCGTAATAATTACGGAAGTGGGAAGGAGGTTGGAAAAGAGGATCATTTGTGAAACAGAGCAAATCTTTGGATGCAGACACCAAAACTAGCTCCGTTTGCACGAATGATAAGAATTAAGTTTTGAACCGATTTGCCTCTAGTCTTCATAGTGTAGTGTTTTATACGTAATCGATTAACAACAGGTGAAAAAAAAATCTTTTCACCTTGTACATAATGGATAGTGTTGTTCAATGATACCATGGGGTTCTGATTCCTGATAGCATCAAGAGTGGTTAGCGACAGTTCGAGTGCCTGAGTGTCAAATCTCCTTTTGTAAAAGTAAGGACAGTAGCTGAGGCTCCTTTGGCGCTTTCTTATTTCTTAAGCGCCTCTCGGAAAAACCTGCCGCTCCGTTCTTCATGGTCCATGAGGAAAGAACTCAGGGCTGTTCAGTTTGGGGAAACATTATAGGAATGAGATTGAGGACCACGTGGGTGGGGCAGAAACTGTGGCTCATTTGGCAGAGCAGGGCGCCTCAGAAGGTGTGATTTATTTTTTAAGAAGCTGAAACCGGATTGGACGTTGCGGTGTCTGCGCGCTGTGTGGTTTGCTCACTCTCTCTCTTTAGAGGTGATCCAATCACGTGACCTCCGACAGCCCCATGCAATGGCATGCCCTGTCCTCCACCGCCCCCCCAATGCCTTCAATATTATTTTCTGACTTTTCTCCTTGGTTGCTCGCAGCAATAGCTGAAGCTTGAATTTTGTTTTTGTTTGAAAAGAGACCCGGGTAATCTTGGAAGGTTGTTAATGCTGTGAAAGCGATTTGTCCGTGGGTGATTGTGGGTGGTCAAGTGGTACCTTGGTGGTCTGGTAATCCCGAACCCCAGTCCCTCTGGTTCTGGAGGCATGGGTTTGAATCCTCCAACAGTGCTTGGCGAAATTTGAATTCAACCAAAACGCTGGATACTAAAAGTCGGCCTAAAGGTAGCCACATAACCAAATTTTGATTTACCAAATCCCACCTGCTTCACTAAAATCCTTTTAGGAAAGGAAACCTGCCGCCTTTACCAGGTCTGATCTACACATGACTGTAGACCCACAGCGATGTGGTTGGCTCTGCTGCCCTCCCTAACTGAAAAGCTGCTCAGTTATTGGGGG